AAAAGTTAGACATTGTTCAACTAGTATCGCGTTATTATTTATAAAAATTTATTAAAAGTCTAATATCGTGGCTCACAGAGTTACTCAGAAATCTTAAAATTTTTAGTTACATCCATGTAACGATTGTAATCTCTGAAGAAAAAAGGTCAGATATTGTTCAACTAGCATTACATTGTCATCTATAAGAATTTATTTAAAAAGGCAAATTTTAGAAATTCGGAAGATTAGAAAGAGAGATTAGTTAATTAATTTCCAAATATCGTGACTGGGTCGATCGGGGATCTTAACAGTTTTAGTCACATCTATCGATTAGAGTCGTGTGGGATTCATAGTTTCACGAACTAGACTTGCTTATCGATTGTTCTCGGACACTGAGCGATTTCTGCGACACCATACGAGCTAGACCCACCCACGTTCGGCAGAAGTCTCGAGTTTCAGCCGATCTCGAAGCAAAAAGAAAAAATAGGAAAAAGAAAAAAGGATGGTTAGAGATGCAGCAGCGTCTGCCTCGTCTCTATAATGTTGTATGCAAATTTTCTACCTTCTGTCTGCGCCGACTGGCCTCCGGAACATGAATCATGCTAACGTCTCCAGTTGCAAACCGGAAATACACCCGACGCCGCGTTCGAATGAAACATGCGCGCTTCTTCCAGGTTTCTCGCTCTTCTCTAGTTAGCATATTACCATGAACTGACTAATAATAATAATAAACATTCCTGAAATATCCGACTGCGTGAATGGAAATTAATTTCTGATCTGATTTAAATTTATTTCGAAATCAAACATTATGTCGAAATTGATTGTTACATTAAATATAACTGACTATCGCTATATGTGAGTAAATATTATATCGGAGAGTAACATTATCAGAGAAACGTGACACGACGTTTGACGTGGTTTATATTTTAATTTCATTTTAAGGTCGGGTGAAGCTTGTTAAATTTCATTCTGAAAGCTTGGGAACTGCTACCGCCGGTGTCTTTCATCTTAACCTGACCCGTTGGATTTTTATAGCGGCGCAACTAGCAACTTTATGAACTTTCAAAAATCTCAACTTCGCCGTCTTGGCAAACTTAGGCGAGAGCCTTGGCGAACGCGTCAGCGAGAACCTTGTAACAATAAATCGCGGCCAAGCTTCTTCGCCTGGCGAAAAATCTCGCGTCTGAAATTGTTCTCGAGCCACGAGAAACTTTGCAACGAATCGATTCGTAAATAGATTTGTTCGCCGGTCTGTTAACAATTCTCAGATATTTGCGATTCGCAAAACAGAGAGAGAGAAAAAAAAAAAGAAAAGAAAGAAATCGAATAAGCTACGCGACGAAACGAATAGAGAGCCCAGTAGCTCGAGTCGATCGCTTGGAACTGCCTTTCGTATCGATTTTGCGGTTTACAACCCACGGCGGCGTAAAGTAAGTATCGTTGCTTGCCTGATTATTTCCAAATTTTATTCCTCTTTTTGTACTCTTCACGCATACAATTCACGTAAGGCCGCTTGAATTTTTGATCAGTCATGTAAAAACGTACGTTGCTCCATTCAGTTGAAGCTTTTGATCATCATCGGCGTCATCGCGCAAATCGTTCATTTCAATCAGTGGAAAAAAAGAAAAAAAAAAGAATTAACGAAGGCATCGTCTTGTTAGCCGAAATGCATAGGAAGTATGTAGCAAGTTTGAGCAAGTAGCACGGCGTTTCATTTTTCTCTCATCCTTTTTATTACTCTTATGATGCTACAGTTGTTAGAATTAGGTACTATAGGCTGCAAACTTTTTAATCAACTGTTATTATACGTATTGATACATTGACATCAAGTGAGTGGTCGTCAGTGAGTAATATATTTACATTTATAATATATTTTGCATCCGATAATGTCATTTTGAACAAAATTTTTAATAATATAAAACATTAATATAATAACAATATAAATGATTAATATAATATACAATTTAATAATATAAAACATATTAATATAATAATAATATAAATAATTAATATAATATACTAATATAAATACAAATTAATATAATAATGATATAAATAATTAATATAATATATTAATAACATAATACACATAATAATATAAAATACATATTACGTATTGTGGAAAACTGAAATAAATTTATTTTCGACGTTAAAGTTACCTATCAAGCTTGGGTGGTTAACCTGACCATTAAAGAATAATTTATCGTAGGTATTTTATTTGATTACTGTTCGCTTTCGAATTTTTTAATAGTCTTTCTTTCGCTATTTTTAATAACTTCTTTTGCTTCTCACGAATATTAATTTCTCGACTAATGTTAAAAAAGAAAATAACAAATAACAATAATGATACTCACGATTTTGTTGGACGATAATTATTATTAGTGTCGACGTTAACAAATACTCAAAATCCCAACGTGCAACTGAAAATACGTCACGATTGAAATATATTGTGCAAGAATTTTACACGACGTACGTACGAGACAGAAACTCGAAATCAGTGTTGGGCAAAACATTAATCAACGAATGACAATTAAATTTCTCCAATAATTTTCAAACACAATTAACGATTACATTGCAACTTTTGTTGTTAATCTTAGTCGCGATGAATAACTAAATGTCTTTTAATCATTAATTACGATCAAGGATTAAATTATCAATTGACGATGAAATTTTCTCAGTTTTAATCGTCAGTTGTATACCTCATTAACGATTAACTATTGAAATTCTTTCTGCAGTGAAATTATCGTTTCCTACGTGTTTTTTTGTTCGCAACTAGAAATCGAGACACTTTTCGAGAATGTATAGAGAGATAATGATGCTTTTGCAAGTCTGTGAACAGTGAAATATTATTAATGCCTAATGCAACGAGACAAAGCTTTCTTTTATCATTGCTTTGGGATTTTGAGTTTAACAAATTTTGAAGGAGCTCAAAATACTAGGAGTTTAATTAGGTTTGCAGTTAGATATATGAGTCGTCCTCTCGAATATTTTTTATTTAAATAACTTGATTTTAACGCTTTATTACAATATCAAAGTACTTTGAAATTATTATTAATTTAAATTAAATTTAAAATAAATTATTACTTTCAAATTATAATTAAATTCGATAACAACTGACAATTGACGATTAGCGCCATTAATCGATAAAATCAATCTCTGATTAGTTCCCTTCAATCAACGATCGACGATTAATTTTACTTATCGATTGGATCGATCGCCGGATTAAATTTATCAACTGTAGACATCAATATCTACGATTAAATCAAATATTTATCAATCGATCGAACTGAAGTAAAAAAATTTCAGTCGATTAATGTAGTCCAAACTCTGAACTCAGCGAATTTCTAAAAAAAAAAAAAAAAAAAAAATTACGTTGCAATTCTCTCTGCGACGTTTGCGTTCCACTCTGTACTGAATCTTTAAAATCGAAGATACATCTGACACCGGCTAGCTTTTCATCTCGCGTGTTGTAACAGCGTCTTATTTTCGTGGCGTTTATAAACTTGTCCGTTTCGATGCGACGTGCACGCGTCTGAAACACCGGTGGAACGATGAAATACGACGTGGCCACTTCGCTAAATCTCGCGGATCGCGCGTTCAACGACGCGTAACGAAGCGGTCTCACGCGATCTCGCGCCGTTCGCAGTCATAACCCCGCGATGAGGAGGCGGATCTCGGATGAAACCACCTGGATTCCTATTGTCCACCGCATTGTCCACCACGTGGAAGTCGCGTGCAGCCTGCGACGAGAGAGCCCAGAACACTTCTTCGAACAACATTCGTCGGATGACACGTGGTCTCGGGCAACGAGTTTTACATTATAGTTTCAGATTCGTAAGACTCGCTTGTTTGTTTTCCTTGATCCTTTCGGGGCGAGCTTTTCTCTCAACAGCAAATTAACGATGAGACAGATGCTAAATTTTCGATAATTTAAATTCATATAATAATTATTTACAATAATTTACTCGGTCTTGTTTAAATTCATATAATAATTATTTACAATAATTTACTCGGTCTTGTTTTGCTTGGAACTTCTGTTTTGACAGTCGTGAATTTGTTTTCTCGGGAGATGATTTTATATCATACTAGCGGGTGAGAGAATAAGGGCGCATTCCCCTGGAAAATTGTAGAAATTCAAACTCGTGTAGAAACATTAAACAATTTTTTCTAAGATTAAGTCCAACATGGTTTTGAAGATTGGAATTTTCTTTTTACAACTCGCTGTACGAACTTTTTATTGAACCTTGGATGTTAAGTGTTAGACGATGAAACGTTAAGATCTTTTTTTTTTCTTTTCGTTTTTTCGTCTCTTCTTGATATTCAAAGTTTGATAAAATGGTACAGCGAGTTTTAAAAGGCAAACTTCAACCTTCGAAGCGATGGTAGATCTAGTTGTGATAAAAATTTTTCAATGTTTTTTACACAACACAATGTTTGAATTTCTTACAATTTTTGAGAAGAAAAGTCTCACTTTTCCACTCGCAAATCATCTTTGAAAAAAAGAACTCACGACTGTCAAAATAGAATCCCCTTGCGTTTCAAAACGAGACTAGGTGGATCATTTCTTTCCAAAGTCACATCGATTTAAATGATCGACAATTTTTCATTGTCATTGTTACAATTCATGCTCTTTACGATACCATTGATTGTAATATAATAAAACTAGACTGAAAAGTCGATCTTTGAATTCCGTTTCCCTCTAACACTTCAATCTTTATGGAGAAAAGTTTTAAATATTAAAAGCTCCGCCAACTATCTCCTGAATTTCTTTCCTCTAACGTTTGTATTTTTATCGAAAGAATAAATAACTATTAATGCTTTGTAAATTGATCCAAAGCAAAATTTCGTACGTCTCTTCTTTGACCTGGAATTTTTGGCAGAACTAATTCTTCAGATCGATTATATAATGTAACGGAGAAAGAACGTTCGCAACAGTCTTACGAGAAATAATTTCGTGACGTACTAGGTTTCGTGGTTTCGTAACCCCGAAAGGGTTGAGGCCTGTCCAGACTTCCGCACAATTATCCACAGACACGTGTCCCCGGACAGTCAATATTGGCCGGTCTTTTGTCTTCCGTTGAAGTGGAAAACAAGAGACAACGTCAGCTAGGACTCATTGTCTGCCAGCCTACTGGAGGCCCACCTTGCCAGTTCTGAAACACCGTTTATTTCCTTGCAGAGTATGTGATTCTCTCTCTCGAAAAAAAGCGAGTAAAACCGCATTTCGGATTTCTCCCGAAAGTTCGTTCTATACACCGAGAGAAGATTGCCAAGCGAGACGAGAATCGCGCGTCTCTCTGGAAAGAGTCGGGAAGAAGGAAGAAGCCGGCTGGTGTTGTACGCGGTCGCCGAAGCGTAAAAATAGGACCGGGCATACTTGTGTGATGATTCGATGCACGACGGAAGAGAATCCAAGGGTCAAGCTGCTGTTTTATGATCCCGTCCCGTTTCTCGAAATATCCGCGCGAAGAGACGGCGAGGAACAATAACAAGATAGGCGAGAGGAACGAGCATAGCGACCGAGGCCGAGACAAAGATCGAGAAACGAGAAACTCGGCGTGGATCGCCTCAAATGGAAGGACTAGCGTCTTCGTCGGACGTCAGCCGATAGTCGAATTGTTCGACAACTCCGACGGATCGTCTCGTCGAGATCGATCGATTCATTGCCGGTTATCATCGTCGTTCGATAGGCTGGACTGCGACGGCCGTTGCTAGACATGGACGCCCTGGAATTGCAAGCAGCCCTGGTCAAGCTGGACCCGGCCACCACGGTCACGCCGATCGGCACCAACGTGAAAATGCTGCCGCCGCCTCATCATCATCGTATCGCGTTCACCGTCGACCTCGACGAGAACGACCTGACGTTGGAGAACGCCGCGCAGAACGACGAGAGGGAGAAGACGAGCAACGCCGCCCCTAGGAAGCTGCACAACAACTGCCCGGCCCAGGTGACCGTGTCCGGCCACCCGAACCACCCTAACAACCGGCAGATAGAGGTGTCCAAGTGCGAGATGGCGGAGGTCAGGTGACGCCAGCCTTGCTACGACCTTATCTTTTATCACACTTACCCGCCGCACAGGGGCAGCAAGCATCATGCTAAGCATCACGCTAAGGAGAAGAGACATCATCATCATCATACAATGCATCATCAGCATCATAGATCTCATGTGGTGAGTCAGTGCGTTCCTATTCGTGCGTGATTCTGTTCGTTGTTTTATTATACATACACACACGCACACTCACACATATACACATACACGTAGGGGAGATATTAGAGCTTTTTTCGATAGTTGTTCTTTGATTTCTTTTCTCTCTCTCTCTGGTAACTCTGTAGTAGTTCTTTCATTCGAAATAGTTTTTTTTTCTTTCTTTTTTTTTTTTGTTTTTTGTTTGTTCGCCAGTAGCGCTTTCGTTTAATTGGTGGAACTTTCTCTTTTTCACTACGATATCTCTCTTGTTTATTGGAAACTTGTTCCCTCTCTGGTTTTTTTTTTTTTTTTTTTTTAATGTCGAATAGCGGCAATACAAAAAGAGAGAGAGTGCAATTAGTTTTCGAAATTGGAAAAGTTAAGCCCGAGAATTGACATTCCCTCTTCTTTTTTTCTTTCTTCTTTTTTTTATTTTCCTGCGCAAGTCTGCGAAATGATCGACGAACGATTTCAGTGCAAATTGAAATCATTTCTCGATTGGTCGTCCAAACACGTCATCGTTACACCATAGTATAATTACTGTGCATCATGACTCGTGTATTTATGTCTGTGTAGAACGATTATGTGTTACTAGGGCATGCATGATGTTCATCGTGTAGCGAAATCATGTGATTAAGCATTCAGCTGCTCTTACTTTGCGAAACCGTTATTATAGCGAAAGCCGAACATTTTAGTCGCTATTGTAACATGTGATCGTTGATGATTCCCCATTCATCTACATCGTCGTGCTTCTTTCTTATATTTCTCATATTCTCTGCATTTATTTCACTCGCAATCGGACCTTTTGAGCGTTTAATCGGTGTTAGAGCATTGTACAAATAATCTTACAACTGATAATAAAACAATTTACTTGTTACTATACTATAGTACGTAATATACATACATAGATATGTAATACAACATAGTATAATACATTATAGTATGTTTGATAGATATATCGAAAAGCTTAAAGATGTTCTTTTAGATTTTCGGTAATTTTAAGCGCTCAAATGGTTTCAAGTAGAAAATGCCGCTCGAATGATTCAACGAAGATTGAGACACCAAAGAGCCGGAGTTTCATAAGTACAAGATAAATGACTTTAAAAGCAGACAAACTCATTGGCCTGGATCATGGTTCTGTAATGTCATTGATGTTGAGAAAAAGTGTTCTTTGTCATTAGCATTCATTAACCTGTCCATTTCTGTGTTACGTGAAGTTCGTTGGCCAAAGACAAGAAAAATTACATTTCCAGTGCGATACAGTGACAGGAACAGAGAATGGAAGGAATTTCTGAAGCTCGTCAGACAGTTACAGCTCTCTTTGAAATCAGTTCCTCATTTATGCATTGCATCTTCTTCTTAGAACTACCAAAGTGATCGAAATGATCAATTTATAATTTTCCATGGAAATTTTATATATTTATAACAGTATATTTATAAATATTCTTATTAGAATAATTAACATTTTAAGTAAGTGATTTTTAACAAAATATATCCATAGAAACTCGTGTTCTTCGTTGTATTTAATTCATTAACTTTTTACACTTGGACTTTAATTTCTTCGCTACGTATATCATAGTTTAGCCGTCGATGGTTCTAGCGTTAATTTATTCGAGTAATTTCGTTGCTATTCAGCTGGAAAATTTCGCAACCAAACGAAACATTTATATATTCAATAAGTGGCTCGAGCAATATTATTCCTGAATTCTGAAAGTAACGAACTACACTTGCAATTAGTTCCTAGGCTCAAATTTAAAACGTCAGAGAGTAATAATTCAGCTGCTCGAAAGCTTTCCAGATCGATCAACTTTGTTTCAGGAATATTTCCATTTTTTGAATTTTTTTCGTCAATCTATCAAACGACCACCTTCCACGATGTTGAAGTTTAGTTGCCTCCTCGATAAAACAAGACAAAACAAAGAAAGAACATTTCCTTCGGTCCAAGAAAATTCCAAGAAGTGTCGAAAGCCTCTTTGAAAAGTGCTACGTGGCGCTGCTTCGATCGAAGACCTCGTTCGATTTATTCGAGCAAAGCAACCCGTAATGGGGCCTATCGCGAGCCACTTAGCTGTTCTAGCGTCGAACCATTACCGATGCGATGGTAGCCATGGTGTGGGACATTAATGGATGTATTTCCGGGGCACGAGGTTGGCCAGCGTAAATTAGACGAGAGGTAGAAGACGAGGCCGCGTGCACTGTGACCTGAATTTCTTTAAGGGCATCAGTTTTCGTCAAAGAGTGATCGTTCACGTGGGGCGTGTCACAAACTGTTCAAGAACAGGGACAACAGCCTGTTCGAAACTGTCCAGAGGAAGCTGTCGACCACATTGCATTCGTCCAACTGTTCTTGAAGATCCAGTAATTACGCAATTTTTCGTTTTTATCGTTTCGATTGTTTTCCCATCGTTGACGCTGGAAGTTTTGAGGTTTCGTAGATGACAGGGGTACCCACAAGTAATCTCGTTTTTTGATACTGTACAAAATTGTATTTTATTGTAAATTATTGTCGCTAGATGGCAATGTTTATTAAATTTGAAAAAAAAACGCCATTATTTGTGATTTAATGTATCAGGGATAAATAATTAATATTTAATTTATCCCTGATACATTGAACTTAATTGTTTGCGATCGATGTCTCTCTGCGGATGGTTCATTTCGTATTCGGGGGATATCGATTATTTGGTCGGGGGATTTCTGGTGGTTTATTGGTTAAACCGTTTAGTGGCTGGATTCTATGAAATTACTATTTTCCGATTGTGTTTACTATTTCGTCGAACGGTGACGATATTGTGCGTTTGATTTCTCGGTCGACGGCGGTTTTGATTTTGGCTAACGGGCTGTGGAAATTTGAAGATACATAGTAATACGTGCAATAAATTTTTTTTCAATAAATTAATTGCTCGTAACATAGAATGTTATTTAAAACCAGTTGAAAAAGTGTTTAACAATTTCATTATTTTCGAACGCCTTAAATGTCAGTGAAGAGAGATTCGATCACGTTGCGAAAAACGAATCGTTAGAAATTGGAACTGCATGGAAGGATAGAATTTGAATAACACGATCAAGAGCTATCGACTAGCCCAGCCAGTTCTAGTTTAATGGCCGCTTGTTCGCATTTGAAAACCATCCTTGTTTTTCGATCAGTTCGGTGGAAAGTTTGAGTAACATATCAACTGCAGCTGGCTACAAGTGCATACGTCGAGTGATTAATCAAGGACAGCATAGTCGAATAATTTATATAATTTAGAAATTTAATTACCAAATTAATAAATTTCCATTATTTCATTAATTTATCATGATCTTTCATCTGTGCAACGTTCAGCAATTATTTATGAAATGTACAGGCCCGTCAGCTTCAGTTTTTTCATTTTGGGAGACATGAACTGTACATTAAGTTGTACATTGAAATTAATGGACTTATACTAACTGACTTCTAAACTCTCTAGACATTGTTTATCAATAGCAGTTGTACAATAAACAATTTTCTATTAAAAGCAACTGCCACACAAACATAACATATCATTGTTAAAATCTTCAGTCAGTGGAACAGTCTAATTGTAATATCGTAATTATAACAACATAACATGTCATTGTTAAAATCTTCAGTCAGTGGAACAGTCTAATTGTAATATCGTAACTATAACGATTCAACTGTTCCATCTATTGAAGATTTCGACAATGAAGCGACGTTTGCTTTGCGCAAATTGTTTTTAATAAAACGTGACTCGCAGAGATATTAAAAATTTAATATTCAAAAATTTCAGAAACTTAAAGAAATTAAAAACACCGTTTGTATCGTCAGCTCTCTTTACATTTCGTCACTTTCTCTTTTCTGAACGCCAATGAATAAAATGAATAAAATGACCGGCGAAACTCGCGTGTATCTGGTAAACATTTCAATCAATAACCGATCATAAATCCAGCGAAATCAGGAGAAATACACGATAGCGTGATAGTATTATATCGACGAGATCGTGGCGTGAAGGTGGTTCGAAAAAGAAAGAAAAAGAAAAGAGACTAGACGATCGGCTATCACGCGAACTGTATATCAGTTGTGTTGCGCGCTCGCCTGAAATCGAAACCCAGTTCTGTTAGGTCGCAAATATTGTTGCGCTCGCTTTTGACAAGCAGCACCGTTCGCCAACGTCAGACGTGATTCATATCTGCTCGACATTGAGCCATTGGCGTAACGTTATACTCTTATTCCGGGTGTAGCTCGCGAACCTGCATAAACCTCTTGGCTCCGACGATAAGGTGCATGCAAAAAGGCAAATATTTCTAAACACTTTTGCTAGTTTCTCTCGACGATGGAATTTAAAAAATGAAAAAAAATGGGCCCGTCTGATATTCAAACAGTTTCTCTGATTAACTTTCTAAGGACGGGGGTATTTAAATCGCCCTTCGCTAGTGGACGGATTTAAATCGCCAGGCGAAGTTTAATTTTACATATGTTTTCGTATAAATTATTGTAGTTCCTATATTTTCAAAGTTAATCAAATCAAATAAAGACTACGTTATTTTGCAATAATTTATTCGTTTGCAACAGTACATTCGGCTTTCTTAGATATTATACAGGTGTCGATATATCGGGCGTTAGTACTTGGAAGGTTAATATCAATCACTCGCGTTTAAATGAAACTTGGAAATCGGCATTCAAATACATATTTGAACGCGCGATTAGATTTGACAAAAAAATCTCTGTTACATTTTTCAATATCTGTTTCCTTCGACAGAAAAATTACTCGCTTTCACATTTTGCTGCTAGCTATTGCCCTGGCAGCTGGTTCGCGGACCATAACGAGCGACCGAATCGTATACAATAATTCGTCGCTTTCTTTTTCTTTCGAACTTTCGTCGGTGTGATATCACCTGGATAGAAATTATTGTGAAGTAATAAATTTATTATTTGTTTTACCTATTTCGTTTTACTTAAATATATAATTTTACTTATTATAACATGTTATGCTATAA